TTTTTACTTACACAATTCATTTTTAATTCAGAATTTGATTTCCGGTAGAAAAAGTATTTGAGCAGGATTAAGATTAGCTAAAGTAAATAAGATTATTTTACTACTTATGGAATGCGATTTTAAGAAATTTTTTACTATACTATGCAAGTGTATTATGCAAGACAGTGCAAAATTTTTATTTTTGTTTTGCAAATAATAAAACCTTTCATATCTGAATATTAAATATTTGTATACGAAATTTGAATAATATTTAAATATTAATTTTGTAATTTTTGAATATTTGAGTTATTTATATTATTAAATCTTATAAAGATTTTACAAAATTATTTAAAATTTCTAAATAGAATCTATTTTATATACACATACGAACACATATCTAATTATTTGCAACATATTTTAGAGATAAGTATATCTAAAAGCTTTGTTTTATTATTTTGAAGGTCAAAAGAACAATTGCTAAAACATGACATACTCATGCATATCTATAACAAGAATAACATCAAACATACTTATATTTGTACTGTATTTAAAATGTATATACACAAAAAACGCACATTTTTCTTCTATCTATAACAGAAAAGTGAAAGTTAAACTTTCCCTTTTTCGCTATTCACCCATACAATCAAGAATGTCAATAATATGAATAAAGAATTTTCTTTTTTGAAATTTTCTCTAACTGATTCTTCCACGTGCAGCTTATAATTATGTATATGTTACATAATGAAATAAAAAATAATAAATTTCAACTACTCATACTTATGTACATACATATTTATATGTATATTTACATCCCTAAATATGACGTATACTCAGGTATTGAATGGAAAATTTCACTTTTTAAAAAATGCAAAAAACATAAAATAAGGCAAAATTAATTTTGAAAAAATTTAAAAAAATTCTTTGACTAAAATTCTAGGGTTTTCTATTAGAACGTGATATATTTACATTTTTCCTATTTCGAGTCAATGCGCGATTGATATTTTGTAGGTTGTTTTTGTTTTACTAAAACATTAACTACATTAACTACTTAGTGAAGATATACCAAAGATGGTTAAAAAAGTTAACATTTCTTTTTACATACATATATACATATGTAGCTTTCCATAAAAAATAAGATATAATATGTGTAATTTTCCCTATTGCAATTGAAATCAATCGAAATTGAATAAGTTCTCTTATCTAATTGTAAACTATTTAAAACGTTCCTTTAGCTTATGTATGAATATTTAAACAATATGAACGACTTGAACATTTGAATATGTAATTTAGAAACGAATATGTGCATTACATTTTTAACTTGAAACGAAACGGTAAAATAATATACCACAATTGTATTTCAAAAGTGTATAAAATGACATATCTATATTTTAATACCTTCTTAGAAAATTTGATGATCCCGAGAAGTGAATAACTGTTGATATCCAATTTTGTCGGAAAAATTTTGTGCCACTTGTGTAGTAATAATGTTTTTCAAGGTTATTTATTTTTTACTGGAAAAACTACTAGAAAAATTAATTTTTTTTTCTTGCATTAGAAAGCCCTTAAAATTTTAAGTAATACTGCATTCACAACTATTTTTCCCCATAATATAGTTATCAGATTCTGATATAGAAAACTTTCGAATTATTTGTTTGCATATTACCAAGATTGTCATTTAGGATATAACCAAGTACTCGTATCATTTAAAATACATATAGATTAAAATTCACAATTATTTCATTGTGTATGGTAAGAAATTGAAAATATTTTCAACTGCATAAAATAGTTCAGAACTTCAATTTTTTACTGTCACATCGACCTTATTTATTTAATGTTGCTGCAAATCGGTAAATTTATAAAATAACAATTTATATAATTTTATGAATTATGTTGCATAAAAATTTATATTTAAGTATTTATTAACATTAAAATCTATATAATTTTTATTGTTTTGAATTGCATAATATCAAAATGATTTTAAGACTTTTAACCAATAAACTATTTACATATATTATAATAAAGTGCGTACATACGTGGGTCTACATATCAATATAATATATAGAATTGGTAAATATATACTATATATACATATAGTAACTAATATGTATACATATGTAGTAAATATTGCAAATGAACTCATTTTATCTCAAAATTTACATAAATTTAATGCATACTTATATTATTATTAATTTTTTTAGTACTTACTATCCGAGTACATGTATAAAATAAATCATCTATATGATGGTTTATGTCTTCCCACTCATTAAATTTTCAAGATTTTGAAATTTAAGTGTCATTATTTGTTATAGATTTTTTAAATTAATAAATAGCAACTAAATTTTAATTTGAATGATTCAGAAAGTCGTGTATAGGCTATGTATACTTTTTTAGAAAATATTAATGATTATAATTAAAAGTTTATCGATTCCATTATCAAGTATAAATTTATTTTGAAATAAAAATAAAATTATGTTAAAATTTTATATTATTTTGTTAGATAAGAACGTGACCAATGTGTGACAAAAAAATTTTATTATAGAATTAGAAATAATTTGGTTAACAATTTTACAAGTTTTAGCAAGTAAAATGATTATTAAACGGGAAATTTCCTATATATATCGATAAGCCGGTATTCAAGATAAGTAAATTGTTGAAGTTTCTAAAAAATTTCTTTGTAAATCTCAAATTTTCATTATTTATTTCAAATATCGACATTTTCTTTTCCAATTTTTAGGTTTTTAGGCATAATAATTTAAGTGTTGTTGCTTATTTTAGAGCAGTTGTATATTATAATTAATTTTACAAACTATACATATTATATATGCTTTTCAACAAGTTCATTAACCTATGCCTATGTACAAATATTACAAATGAAAATTATTCTAAAAAATGTAAGTAAAAATTATCCCAATATACAATATTATACCTGAGGTAATATTTATTACATTAGTTTAAAGTTATGAGAAAAGTATACAAATTATAATATGGAAAATGTTGCGTATGCATTTTGAAAGAGAAGAAAATTATAAACGAAAGTATGATATCGGAATTGTGCTACTGAGATTACTGTGTATTTCTCTTTATTTTTACAGAAATGTAATGAACCTTAAAATTTCAAATAATGACTTAGGAGTTAGAAGGAGATAGAAAAAAATTTGTAACAAACAGATTATTTTGAAATATGAAAAAAAATCACGGTTCGAGAAAAGTTTTGTCATAATGACGTTGGCTCATTGAATTTTCTTTACAACCTAACAACATATTGAGAAATTTTAAATATATAAAATAATATTAATAGCTAGAATGTTAAAGTTCACATCATCAATTTATATAGAAAATTAATGTAATTCTAGACAAAACCTTAAATAAATAAATCAATAAAAGTATCGTTTATAAATTAAAATTAATTTGTTTTTTAAAATAAAAAAAATTCTAAGTTTATAACAACATATGTACATGTAAAAGTGCATTTTTTATCCCTCTACATAATTGCAATGAAGATGTATACATGCTTTACCATATTAGGTATGCTTGACTTCCAAAACGCAGTGGAAAGGTAAGTTCCATATTTCAAAACATATATTGAAAGCTCTTGACATTGTACATTATTCTAAAATATATCGAAAATGCAGTCGAAACATAAAACAAAAGTAGAACGTGTAACGAAAAAATTGACACTGTTAATTCGAGACTGCTTTTTTTATACAATGCAAGGGTTTGAAAAGCTTTTCGTTGTTTTAAAATTGTATTTAAACGGCATTTAAACTTTTTATACTACGTTTTGGAAGTAACGGTATATTAGTTACTTTGGCTAATGCAGAACTGTGGCTTAACTAATTGTACATACTCGTAATGCATATCCATATAACATAAACATAAACTTAAACACTTAGCCTGTATAATACACATATATCAACACTTAAGCCTGTATAGGAGGTATTCCAAAAGGAAATACAGTAAGTACTTAGTAAGTATATTCAAGTAATTTCTAAAGTAAGTAATTTCTTTATTTCGAATCGGGAAAGAATTAGAGATATATTCGAATTAGAGAAACTAAAATGTAAGAAAATGCATATAGTAAACAGAATATGTGATTCGAGTTAAAAAAAAGCTATAGGTCTTATAGCTGAGAGTACCTACCATTATTTTAATTAATATAAAGATTATTTTAGTCAACTTTTTTTAAATTATATGTAGAACTTGTCTAATTTAAATTTTTTCACATGCCACTATTATATAATACACTATACAAATATTTAATGTGTAAATGTATATGTAAGTATGTACATACATATCTGAATACATGTTAAGGTCAAAAAACTTAATTAAATATTTTATAAACATTTCAATAAAAATATGTATTAAATATATTCATTAATTAATTAATAGCTTTTGTATTTAAGTATGTATGTGGAATTATACTTATACATAAACATATATGCAAAAAATAAATAAAAGTAATTGAAATGACCTTGAAAAACGCCGAAAATATAAACAGAAAGAAAATTCTATGTATGAAAGAATACATTCATACATACATATATGTACATATGTATATATGCTGCATACATACATGTGTTCGTAACTGATCCATATCAATCATAATCATTTTTGCTAAAACACACATTATGTGTATAACATTTTTAATCAGTTTGAACGTTTTTCACATAAGTTATAGATAGGATGTTTTTATTAAAAAATATATATATATGTATATATTATATATGTATATATACATTAATGTACATGCAATTGTAAACTGTCAGTTAATTCTTATAAGAAAAAAGGAAAAATATTTGAAATTTCAAAAATAGAAATGGAAACTAGACGAAAAATTTTAATAGAAGAGTGGTGTAATAATAATTGAGAATAATATTTTTTATTTGACCAAAATTTGAAAATTATAAAACCTATGACCACGTATAATATGTGAGTATTCAAAAAGCTTTCAAATTGTTATACTTAATTTAATACTATTATATTAATTTTAATGAATAAATAAATAAACTAAATTAACTTACTTTTGGATCCTTTTCGTACCAATTTTGTTGAGTTCTAATCCATCTTGAAACCAAATTATCTTTGACGGTATGTGCAAGAGCAAAATAATAATCTCTTAATGTTGCAACATTACGATCTTTTACCAATGTGTAATGCAAATGACGATTAAAGGATTTTTTCACTTCACCGACATTTTCAACTTGAGCAATACCGCGAACACTAATTTGTTTCCTTTTATCGGCATCGGTATTTGGTTTAGCTGCCATATTTCTTTTTTTTTTAATTAAAAATCTTTTGATTTTTTATTGCAATTTTAAGGCTATAAAAAAATAAATAAAAGATTCACAGATAACAAATAAGTATTGTGTTTACACACTTAAAACTTAAGTTTTCAAAAATAAAAATAAAAATCTGATTTTTTTTTTAATTTTTTTTTTGTATTTGCAATTTATTTATTGCGGTTTATATTTTTCTATTATCATTAATCAACGAATTCTACTTGGGAACTAAAAACTGAAGATATCCGAATATAAAAACAAAAAAATATAATTTGTAAAAAGTTTCGAAATGATATTTTTTTTTTATTTTTAGTAGAACAAATTTATGTGAATTGGTTGAGTTGATTATTTGAGCTGAATGAGAAGAGAAAAACTTAAGGTTTTTTAGTGTTTGAATTGCTGAGTAATTTTGTTTATTTGCTTATTTTCGTATTTTTCTTTTAATAAATTTTCGAAGATAAGATACAGAAACTTACTTGCAAACCTAATAATTAATAATATTTATATATGTATATTCAAACTACAAAGGTACAAACTTGAGTATGCATACATAAAAGTTTATAAAAAAATATTTGGCTATTTACTTGAGATTAAGTAGGTAGGTACATTAAAAATCATAAAAAAATGTTGAAATAACAAATTAAATGTTATTAATATTTGTGTTTTTAATTTTATTTGTTGTATTCATTGTAATTATTTAATTTAACGTCATCACTGAAATTTATTACGCGAAAATCGGTTTCTGTTTAAGTATACCTATACATAGAATATACTAGTGTCACCTAGTAAATTGTCCTAGTCAGTAGTGAATCGAGATTTAAACACGAAACAATGGCAAATTTTTAAAATTAAAAAGGTATTTTTTTAAGTTTATTACTATAATTTTACCAATGACAATTCTACGGTTATATTATAATATAATTTGTGACTTTTACACGCAATTTAATTTGTTTTATAAATTGACGATTTAAAAATTATTATAATAAATTATAAACGATTATTGCTTAAATATAAACGCTTATGTTAAATTTTGACGTAATAATACTGAAGATCAATTTTTTTTTACAGCTTGAGTAGTCAAATGATTTTCTGGGTAATAAAATAATTATTGTTTTTCAAAAAATAATTTCGTGAATAATTTTATTTAATAAAATTCAATTTTATTTAAACATAATATGTGAAAATACATAACATGTGCAGTTAGAAATAACGAACTGAAAATAAGATGCAAAATAATATTAAAGTTTTGACAAAATTTTTAACAAATGATTTTCTAAAAAGTAACTGCATTTTATTTGTTTAAAATTGTAACATACTACTAGGAGTCACAGAGTTTAAGTTTTATTCTTAAAACTTAACTAAATTAACATAAGTTTTAACTAAACAAACATAATCTGATAAATTATGTAATATTTTTTGGACTATTTTACAAAAGCAAAACACATCAATTTGATTTAACTGCGCTACTCATGACAATTTCACTATGTTGTTGATAATTTAACTATGTAAAAAACAAACTTGATTTTCAATATTTGTTTACGAATTGAAGTTTTCACTATATTTATCGCGGTATACTGTGCTTATGAATAGGCCTTCTGTATTAAATATTTTTATAGTGATTATTTATAAATAATTATTAAATAATTTAATATTCAACACTCCTAACTTAGTTTTATATTTAATACTTCTAACTAAATTATTGTTTATTTTTTGATAAATTAATTTTTGAACTTAAATATGCATATTGCAGTTTGAGAAGAAGTTCTTTTATATTTTGCGGCATATAACAGAATCTATGAATATAATATAGAGCTTTTTATAGTTCTGCCTCAATCAAAGATTTCAGTCATGTCATGTATTTTAAAAATAGTTATAAATTTTGAAGATCGAAAATTAAATTATAAATGCTTTTCTAAAATTTCGATGTTGCTTTTATTTACATTTACAAAATAAATCACCATTTTGTACTTATTTTTTTGATTATTACTGTACCACTCTCTTAATTTACTGTTGCTCTCTTCATATTATTAGCTCACTCTCACTCTTTAAGGTTTATACCGTTTTATGTATGTATAATTTTACCATGTGTTTTATATCTATTTATAAACGTTATGTATGCATTATGTTTAGAATATTTTTCATTATACTTATACATATATATATAATATTACATATTATTTTGCATGGATATAATATGCCTTTTACTTTAAAACTCAAACTTCACTAATAAAAAACAATAATAACAATTCGCTTTTTGATCAAATAACTAATAAAATAAATTCGTTTGAAGATATTTAAAATAATATCTTGTATTTCATATTAATTTCAATTGAAAATTTGATTACCGAACAAAAAAAAATATTTTCGATAATAAACTAACCGTTTATGAAATGCTCCACACAATCAGCTACCACTGAACTGACTGAACTCTGAATTTTATAATTTTCTTAACGTTGTTTATTAAACGCTCTCAAAAATGTGAAATTTCGAAATACAATAACTCAAATAAAAAAAATTCGGTCACCTTGTTGTTTGTTCTGAGGTCAAACATGCGTATGACAGCATCAAAAATGTCAGAATTTAACGCTATCTATTTTAATTTTCGGAAAACTTTTTTTTTCTAAAAAGCTTTAAATAGTATGCACTATGCAAAGTTTTTTTATTTTAATTTTATCTAGCCTATGTTTTTATCAGTTGTATTGGAAAGTTAATTTTGTTTACATTGAAAATATGTATGTAATTGTTTTTTGTATTTGCAATTTTTTTTTTTGTAGAAAGATGTGAATTACACGCAATATTTTAAGATTTTTCATTGTGATAGAAAAGTTCATTGACAGTCACTTCCCACAAAAACACGATTTGATGTTTTCATTCTTCAGATTTCAACTTTGTAGGAATTAAAAGACATTGTTTCAATTAACATTTATTTGGAAAAAGAGAGATGAATATTTTCTTTTTCTATCTTTTTCCTCTTTTATAAATATTTTCATCGTGAATTGGAACTGTGGAACTGGAATCTTTTTAAAAACATAAAGTATTGAAAATTGTAATTTATGTAAAGAAGAATTTAACCCTTTAGTTTTGTATGAGTAGAGATGTTCTAAATTTGATAATGACAATATTCCAATAATAATATAATTTATTATGTCAAGGGTGAATGAGATTTCTTATTGAAATTGGGTTTGCATGTTCTTGTATTTTTTTATGAATTTGATTTGCTCATTTATAATTAGTTATAGAAAATATCTGAATATTGAACTGAAATTTCTTAATATACAATTTTTGCAGTTTGGGCCTTCACATAGTTTTCATTGTTACATTACATTTTAAGTGCAGATATATGTATGTAGTTATAAGTACCACAATTATTATTACTAAAAGATATTAGGAAAAGATGTGCTTAATGGTATTTTTATATTTAAGTGAGCGTCAAGTACAAGTAAGTACACTACGGATAATTACGCCTTTGTATAAGCTGATCGTTTAGTAGTTCTATATTTGCACCTAGAGTCCTATATGCTTGTCCATTTAAATGTTATACATAATCATTTATAGTTTTGCGTTAAAAATTTGTTTTATTTAAAAAATTATGTATGTATATGTAGATATTCATCAATTTTATTTAACAATTTTAAGTCCCAGATTTTTTTTAAAAAATCGTATCAAAACTTTCAAACTCTCATTTTGTATCGTAGGGCTTTTTAAAATCCATAAAAAACTATCTTTGCCATGTTTCTTAAGAACTTTTCTGATGTTTGACGATAACGTTCTCATATTTTTTTTATTTATTGAATAAAGTACATTACGAACGGATATTAATGGTCCTGTTGAAAAATTTTATAATTTTACAAACAATTTTCTAGTAACATATATAAATATTTTAAATTAATATTGTGTATACATATGAATGTATATATTTCAGTTTTAGAATCTTACCATCGATATAATCTGAGTCTGTTATACCACTTCGTGCTGAACCTTAAATGAAAAGCAAAACAGAAAACTTTTAAATAAATTTTAATTTTGTATGGTTTTGCGAAGAGTAACATAAAACGTCTTAAGTGTTAATAAAGTCACCAAGTTCTTTACTAAAATAAAGTTTTTTACGACTGTTATCTGATTATAGAATATGTAAATAATTACTTAATATAAAATTGTTATTATATAATTATGCACACTGTATATACATACATATACGTTAGTAAGTTATTATTTATATTTTTTATTGCAATAATTAACATATTAGCATAACAAAATTGGCTTGGCTCGCTTTTGAATGAATAGCTCGAAAAGCCTTCGATCAATTTAGCAATCCTCGGATTTCAGCCTCAAGATTCAAAATAAAAAAAAAAAAAACCCCACATTTTAGTATTCGCTGCTACGCTTTGCGAAATTTAAAATTCTTTCCTAAATTTTGATCTAAAGCAAAAACTATTAAAGATAAAAAACTTATTTGATTTAATTTTATACACACAAAAATTATTAAATTTGATTGTTAGACGTAACGTATTTGAGGCTGTGGAAATAATTACATAAATATTTCCAAATAAAATTGTTGCTACCACAAGATGTACATGACTATTTTTAACATTTGAGAGTTAATAACCTACCTACATATCGTCGGCTAAGTGTTATTTAGATCCATACGCCATGGCTTCTAAATCGAGAAAATCACGTTTGAAGTTTAACAACACTTTATTTAAAAACTAAACGATGGGATTTTTAAATTTTATATTATAAGGAATAAGAATTTTTTATTTCTTTTCTATAAAATCAATGTAAGTCAATATTTAATATAAATTTAAGGATCAACTGGCCTCATATTGTGTCATTACTTACCATCAAATAAATATTTGACAAAATCAATAATATTATCGGATGACGAATCTGATAATGAAGATCCAGATTCTGAACCAGAATCATCATCAGAATTTCTATTATTGTCTGAGTCATCATCATCAGATACTTTAACAAATATTCCTTTTTCATCACATAAATTACCACAAATGCGTCTTAGTTCACTTGTATCATCAATTTCCATATTTTATTTAATAATTTTGTATCACAGAACAAAAAATTTAAATTATCCTACATACTATTATACACTATTGGGGTAATAAAATAATTTGTTTTTTATTAGTTGTAAATATTAAAAAAGAAGTTTAAATTTTTCACTACTTACTTAGAAATTATGCTATTTATTAGTTCAAGAGCAAACAAATACTGATCATCAATGAAAAAAATTTCATTTGAGCCACTCCTTTAAATTAAAAAAAAAAACAAAATCGCTCATCTTTTTTATATTTCTCTTCTAAAACTCAATTTTTTATTCTGAATTCTGATTTTTGATCAATTTTCTTCTTCTGGACTACTATGCTATATAAGTAAAGATTGAGAATTTTGAACCATTGTCCAGATGTTTCACTGAAATGAATAGCAAACAAGAGAATTGAAAACAATTCATTCAACTCAATTTTATTTTGTTTTTTTTTTTTTTATTGTTTTTGGTACCTTTATATAGATAATCACGGCTGACAGCAATACAGGCCTGAACCATAAGAGAGAGTTACAGTTTACAGCTCACGAATTTACATGCATTCTTATGGGATCTATAGAAGGCCCTTTTCAACGTCGTAAATGTCCACAAGAACAACTTTTTCAAATCTCTTTTTACTTTACTAGTGCAGTGCTTATATTCTTAGAGTAAATTATTTACATTCTTTAATTTTGTATTATTAAAACATTAAAAAATTTATGTCTCTCATTATGCATTCCTCTTATATAATCACATATATACATATCTATATAATTTTCATGTGTATACTATAATAATTAAATTTATATGCTTCACAATTCATGTAACTGTAATGACAATTACTAATTACAGATTGTAATTTTTTTTAATGTTTTTTAAAATTATATAGTACATATACATAAATTATAATTATTTTTTTTATTTTAATACTCAACTTTTAATACTTATACCATTTTTGCCACCTTGTGCTGAAATATATTACAGAAATGGTTTTGTGCGCCTTTAAAATGCTTAATATTTTTCCCTATAGTTTATTTACAAAAAAAAAGGGTTGTTCGCCTCTAAAAATAAAAAAGGTAGACATCTATTGTGTACCCTTTCTCTCTTCCAAAAATTAACTGTTTTAGTTAAGGCAATTTTTTGTATTTAAAAAATATTTGTGAGTGATTTGTGAGATAGGATTAGCGTGATGTAAACGAAGAGTCGAAATACTTGTTTATAGATATACTTTGCGAATTACTTATTAATAGATATACTTTGATTTTAATGAGAAGAAGGGGCAAAAATTGAGAGAATAGAAAAGTGATTGAGGCAAAACAAATTTTGATAATTTTTTTTGTATGAAAATGGCTTTAGTTTTGAAAAAGGTCGTGAGTTTTGGAATGTAATTATGAATAGTAAAAGGGGTTTTCAATCGCAATGTTTCCAAATTTCTATAAACGCAGAAAGCTAACGGTAAATTCTATGCCATTAAAAAATATAATTATTTTTCTTAACTCATGCATTTAACCCTTAAGATCGAGCATTATGTTAACCTTTCTTTCAATTTATTTTTGTTTTTTTAAAGGCTGCATAAATCGTTCATCCTAAATATAGGCAATTCTAGAAATATGAATGCAAGTAATTTTAATAGTGTAGTAGGTATACATAGATTGTTTTTAAAAGCAGTATTTTCACTTGTTAAAGGGAAAGGTGCTACAATATGAACTATTGGTTTGGCCCAACTTTATTTAATTTTATTTTTCCAAATAGTATTAAGAAATTCATTGGACCAAAATCCTTGACCAAGAAAATTTAAACTATTTTTATACATAAAATTATTAAAAACTTTAAAATACCAAAATAAAATAAATTAAAGTGCAATTAAAGTGCAAAAAATTTTTCTATAATTTTCACATAAAATTTACTTTATAAATTTCTAATTAATAAAAATTGTACATACATACATAATTAAACAACATAAAAACATAAATTTTTTACAATATATCTGGAAGAGATAATAAATACTATTATTTCACGGAGTTCATAGAGTTATTATTTCACGGTCCCTATTAGTGCTACGTTCAAGTTGATAAAATTGAATCCATAAACTATGACTTTCCTTATGCATATTCTCTTCCATAATATTTAATTTTTGTATAAGCTTTAATTCTTCTGACGTGTAATCAGGCTGTTCATCTAATAATTGAAACTAAAAAATAAAACAATTAACTAACAATTAATTTACTTTTAATTTTTAATTACAAATTAGTGTATATTTTAATTTTTAATTTATCAGTTAATAAATAAGATATCGTCATCTAATATCAGTACAGGTCTGTGAAAAAAATCATCATTTGAAGTAATTTTAGTTTTTAATGAGACTGTAATCCGTACACCACATAAAAGATTATTTTCCAAGATGGATCACACCACATAAAAGATTGAAAATGGTTTCAATTTTCAGTATTAAATCAATATTAATACTGAAATCACAATATTGTTAAATAACATTTTATCAAATCATTGTGTTGCGCCTTAGTAAATTTGGCGTTGTAATTAATAGTCTCAAGAAAATTTTATACACCCTTAAATTAAAAATTAAAAAAAATCAGAAATATACCTTATCTTTTGGCATTACATCCAACACCAACATTTAATGACGCATTCGATGGATAATAAAAATCAGTTTTAGGTGATCTACTAAAATTCAAATACTCAATAGTTTTACGTCATTCCTGAGAATTATAAAAAAAAATATGAGCACATATTTCGTAATTGAAAAAAAATTTAATCATACCAATTTGAAATCAATATTTGAACTTGATCTTCTTCAAGTGGAAATAATGAAAATAAAGATGCTGCCCGAATCGTTATGTTGTAATGATCTTTACAACATTATTGCCTGATAAAAAAAATATTTTTATTATCATCTCTAACATAAGTGACAACATTTGGATTTAAATTTTCACGTTTATAAATGGTATCGGATTCATTTACCATATCATATATGAAATTTGTATGATTAACAGTGTATTGTATCTTCTACATGGTTCAGGATCTTTAAAAGTCTTTAAAATAAAAATATAATTAATATTAGACTTTTATAGTTTAAAATTAAAAAAGAAAAATATGGAAAGCTACTTACCAAATTAAAAATTTATATTTATAAACTTAATTGTTTATATTTGATATTTAAAAACTTAATTGATTTAAAACAATTAAGTCACGATAAATTTGATGCATACAATACTATCGCTATTCGTCTATAATTTCCATCCAAAATATATAATTATTCCATCTTGATTATTTAAAAACTTAGTATCATTTAAATTCCATAAAAATTTACGATTGGTTCTTGTTGTATTAAATACCATTCTTTTAAATTATAATTCAATGTTAAAAATAATATTAGTGATGATAAAGAAGATGATGATGATGCTAAATGTAATGCTAGTGGTTCTGGGTACGATTCTGATGGTAGTTGTTCATGTGGTGGTGGTGCTATTGGTATACAATTAATTATATCTCTATTATATCTGTTTGACATTTTATTAGTTTTTTTGTTTGAATTATTATGCAAGAACGAAAATTTCATTATTTCTTAAATAATGTTTAAACATCAAATTCTAAAATTAAACTAAATTATTTTAACAAAATTCTCAAGTTTTTATAGCAATAATTTATATGAATGTACTTACATGAAAGAATATTACAGGTATCGTTATATTTTTTGCCGTACATAAAAATAAATAATTTTTATGACTCTTCAGACATATTGCAATTAATATGTCAAGAACTTGAATTCTGAAATTGAAGGTATAGATTTAATTCTATGTATTTACAGAATTTAGAAGCTAAAATAATAATATGTATTTAATAAGTAAGAAAGTACATTGGTATACTTACATACATAAATATGTATGTTATATATGAGCACATGTTACATGAAGTATTAATACTGTTGCAAGTATGTATACGAGGTAAGGGAATGTGCAATGTAAAAATTTTTAATACAAGTAACTACAATATGTAAGAAAATTGAAATTAATAGTTGACAACATTTAAATTATGGTTACACTTAATTGAAAACATTAACAGCCAATATTGTTTAACTTCTGCAATAATAATCTATAACAATTTTAAGACATCGCCTGTTTACAGCAAAAAAATCCTAAGTCCATTTTTCTCAAAAAAAAAAAATTAAGCAATATCCTATTTCAATTGCACGCTGAAGGCGAGAAGGTATACCTCGTTGATGAATATTATAAAGCCAAACTATTGGCTTAAAAATCATACGGTAAGCCAAACTACGGGCTTAAAAATCTTTCGCACGCAATATTCCTATATCTAGATATATTTAAATTATGTGGATTGTCGTCTAAAATTAATATAATTTTAGATGACAAATGATTTTTATAACAGAATATAATAGTTTTTTTAACATTATATTATTATTGTTTAAATAGAAATTAAATTTCGACCTTTGATTCGTAATTTTCGACATTCTCATGAACAATTTACAAATGTTGACATTGGAGGGTTTAGCTCTATACATCATTAAATAACTACAGAGAGCTTATATTAATGTGGTATATAAATTTATTAATAAATTTTCCGGGAATATTTTATTGATTTATATCAGTTACATCGGACGTTATTTTGTGTGGAAAATTTTTCATAAATTCAATGCGTATGTAATTTGAGATATTTTATCATCATCAATTTATTTCATTTATTCATTAAAAATAGGGTTCTTGGAGTTACAATAATTCTAGTAATAATAAAGAATTTCCATCCTATAAACCAGAAGAACAAAGCTTTGTATTGCATTTGGTAAGAAGTTATTTTAAAATACGAATAATGGGCCAAAATTTTTAGAATATCTTAAGTTTTTAAATACTCTTTGTTTTAATAGAGATTGAAAAAATTTATTAGAAAATATTAAGGATAGGTTATTTTTTTGAAAATATACGCTATATATGCCATATGGTACTGTTATTATACATATATGAAAACATTATAGTAGATGTTAAACTTAATGACATGTTACATAGGAATATTGTTCACTTTCAGTTACACGTTAAATTCTAGTCTAGATATATGTACACATATACCTTACTAGTCAATAAAATTAATAAACCAAAATACCTAATGTCTTTCTTAATATTTTGTAGTCACTTTCTAACAAATGTTTGTAACACATATATGTGGTACTATTCTAGGAAAACACACTTATACCAGCTATATTTTATTAACACATTTTCAAAAATATGCCATCAAATTCGTATATAAGGGCATATAAAGAAATAATACAGATTCATAGTTTTGAGAAATTATTAGCATAAAGTTTACAACAAAACAATTCATTTATATATTTTATACAAATTATTATGTCGTTTTATAATAATCCATATAAAAATCATAATAAAATTATATCAAACTCATCATTAATACCAGAACTGCCTTTAACATCATCACCATCGCCATCGTCTCCAGTATTACCTTTAACAATAAATAATTCTGGAACAATATCATCAAGATCATGTCGAATGTCATGGTTTCTTGTACAACAATTAGAATCAAAAATATTATCTATAATACATTCGGTTGATTTGGTACATGATACAAATGCTGATATTTATTTAAACAAAACAATAACATTTAATAGAGATCAATCAATAATTGAAGCTATTATGTTATGTGCTTCCGATAATAGACAATTTCTTGAAGATGAATTAAGAAAAAAACTTGCAACAAATGAAAAAATCCAACAAAATTCTAATATTTTAAATTCGTTGTCAACTGGAGAATTATTTTTTTTATTACAATTTAATAGAAATGAAAAATGTATTGTACATACAATTTTAAGAAAAACTGAAATACCATGGAATTTAAATGAAAGATATTTAAGCGGTAGAGAAATTTTAATTGAAGACGGCAATGAAAAACGTTTAGCAACAATCTTACATTTTTCTGCTAATGAAAATGAAATGATGAAGGAAATGCAATTACTAAAAGAAAAATCCTCTCATTTGGTAAGAATAAATTAAAATAATACACTGTAAAAATACTTAAAAATCCATTTTTTATACGATGTGGTTGAGTGTTTTTGAACATTTTTATTTTATTACCTTTCTAATTAATATTCACGAATTTTTTGATAGTATCAAGTAAATAAGATAAAATTATTATCGCTTTAATTTTCTTTTTTAATTTCTCTTTAATTTGAAAACAGGCTCTTGAAGAATCATCATTGAATAAAAACTTTAAATGGTTTCTTATACAATATAGTAATGGTTTGAATAATGTTATTTATTCAATTATAAACGAAGATGAAACAATTTGGGGTGAGGATAATTATTTTAATGATTTTGTTACATACCTTCAAGACGATACTTGCTCAGCAATATATCAATCTATAATATTAAAAAAATCTAAATATCGTGATGAACTTGAAATTGAATTGGAAAATATTAAAGAACATTCCTTAGTTACAGTTTTCCCTCTAAATGGAAATAATGAAATTTAGCATTTAGTTTTAAAAGCGTATAGAAATGTGTACAATAAATCAAAATTAATAAAAGTGTTTTTATTTTAAATAAAAATTTTAATTCTGCTTCTAATTTTAATAAACTTTACAATGATAAATATAAAGTGATTTCTATTAAGCATTTCAAGACTCCGTTATAAGAAAACATAGCGAATTAACACGAAATTATTATCCTATGAAATATGGGTCTATAGATCTCAGCTAAATAAAATTTAATTTTATCGAAATTTCAAATTAAACACAAAATAAATTTCAACAAAGTTCTGCAAAAAATTATTTTGATTTCTTAAAATGGGTCTTACTTAGAAAATGGGTCTTTTCTATTACTTTTATAAGAGAACCTTTATAAGAGAAAATGAGCGAGAATGGCGAGTACAATAATTAAACGAAACAAAGGATCAGAAGATACAATAAAATGGAAATAATTTTCGTATAGTATGCAATATCAAAAATACATACAAGTTATTCAATTTCAAAGCTGGTGTTATTGAAGTTTTTACGAAATTATTAAAATTAGGTATTGAAATTTAGGTATAGAAATTATTAAAATTTGATTAATAATTTGTTTTGCAAAGTTTCGTTACAATTAATTTTTCTCAAAATAGGTATATTCAGAAAAACACAAATGGAACGAGTTCATTGATATTTTTCTAAATTATTGAAAAGAACGGACAGAAAATTAATTGCTTAAAAGATTTAATAATAATTTATTAACATTTTATGGAATGGAAATAAGAAATACATTTTGTACTTAAATATTTTAAAAATCCAAATTTAATGCTAGTCTTCTCTTCGGTTTCACTTTTTCAACTCTTAATTTCGATTAATTGCTCCAGTCTTACTCAAATTTTCCTTATTCGATTCTTGTAAACTTCGTCGTTTTTTCTCTCTTTGTTTTAGCATTTTATTTTCATCTGCACATTTTGTTGTAATCGCAGTTCGAACTTCTTTTTCAGCTACATTACATTTTCGACTTACAGCAAATATGATATCTTGTACAGCTTGTGGATTTAGTTGATGTTTAGATGGAAGGTCACGTCCTTTGAATGCTGGTGATGGTTTACCGGTCATTGTATGAGTTGCTAATGTTTCGCGATCAAATATCGTTATTAAAAGTTTTCGTGTTGCACTTGTAACTGATGCCCAATCAATTGAATCATAAACTGCTGCCGGTATTCTTGTATTATTTGGCCCTAAAGAAACCTCAATTTCATTTAATTGTTGCGGCATAAAATTTGATCCAACACTGGAACGTCGACCATTTTCATTTTCATGAACAAATGGTTCTTTTTTATATTCAAATGATGACGATACTGCTGGAACGGTAACTTCATTACTTATTTCTGGTCCAGAACCATTGTGCAAATTCTCTTGACTTGAAATATATTGTCGTACATCAGTTTTTGATTTTTGTCGAATAGATTTTACTGAATCTATTGATAAAGGACTTATACTTGAAGGTTGTTGTGTTTGCTGATTTGGTTGTTGTTGTGCAGCAATAATTACATTTTGTGGCTGTGGAATATGATTAGTATTAGAATTCCCCAACATGTTTGAATGTACCACCGAAATATATTGTAAATTTCTATTATTATTTTCGACCGATTGATCTGCTTGTTGTTGTTGATGATGATGATGATGGTTTTGTGAATGATTAATGGTATGATAAGTATCACTTATTTGTGTTTGATATAATTGAGAAGATTGTTGTTGTGGTTGTTGATTATGTGTATTATGTAATGTTTGAATATGTTGTTGGTTGGCCGGACCTGGCAATTGTATACCTTGATTTTGTTCAATTGATGATTGCTGTGCATATTCATGAATGGTATATGTTTGAATATTAGGCTGATGTTGAGAAATTTGTCCAATATTTGATTGATTTTCCTCATTGTTCGGATATTCTTCCTTTGGTATACAAATTTCTAATCGATTTGAATCGCTACTATTATTCAAATCATGATCTAAATATGTTCCATCTTCTTCAGCATATTCTACTTCAATTGGTTCAATAATTTCCATACCTGCTGGACCAGCAACTATTTTATATGTAGCTTTCCCGGGCTGTCTTGATTTTAATGGTGATTTCTTGTATGATTGATTTTGAATTGTTTTGCCATTAATACAATTTGATGTGCCAGAATGCTGTTGGTGTTGCTGTTGTGACTGATTTAATTGTGATTCATTGCACAATGTTTGAATAGATTGTGATCTAAACATTTCTTCTAATTTTCGAATACGATCTTGTAAATCATCAATCAAATTATTTTCAGTAATTTTTATTTTAAAATCATCACTTTCAGTTTGAGTCCAAGCATTTAACATCATTGGTTTTTGACATTCTGTATTAGTTGCATTGTCCACTAAAATTTTTTGATTATTATGATTATAATTGGGTTGATAAGTTTCTCTATTAAGGAATTTTCTTTTAGCGGCTTGCTGTAAAAAAAAGAAAAATGAATTAGTTTTTTAGATATTTTAGTTTTCTTTATAAAATATAAAATTTTTCTTATTGTACACGAATTGCTAATTAAAAATGAAAACTTGACCCAAATTTAATATCAGCTCATTTTTAAAATATGTAAAGTACTTATTACATTTTGTTAATTTAATATACACAACTAAAAATGTATGTATAATTTTTTAATATTTCTAATTTAAGAATTTCACTAAATCTACTAAATAAAATTCTACCATTTCCGAAAATATAAATTTACGTATCCAATCACATTACATGAAATTTCCTGCTAATTTATCAAGTCTTTGAAAAGTAGGTAAGTATATAGGGTATAATAAAATGTTGATTGTTAAAAGTTTTAAAAGCTATTTCTATTCTTTAATTCTAATTTTATTTAAATTTTTAAAATTAATTAAAATTTGGAATTTTCTAATTCAATTAAAAAAATCACAATAAAATTTAACAAGTTATAATTATAATAAATTCTTAAAACAATTTCTATAAATATGATTTTTCTCTAAATCAAATTAGAATTAAAATGATTTTAATTGAATCACATTAAAAATTTCATTTTTTTCTTAATATTAAAACAAATTCTATGCCATTAAGAATATACTTACTTCCATGCTTAACATGATTTTTATACAAAATTTAAAATTTTATTTTAATTTTAATACTTTACAATTAATTTACTCTTTATACAATTTAATATTTTTGCAAAAAAAAAACAAATTTTTTTATTCCTTTATAAAAAAAGAAAATCGTTCAAACAACATTTCAACTAGAATTCTTAAAACAAACTAAATATAAAATATACAAATTTTTAAAAGAACAAGGAATACTGTTACGTTAGTATAAATTGAACAGGAATTGAAATTTAATTCCAAGCGGCGTTAAATTTTGTTTATATATTAAAAAATATAATGTTTAAATGTAAATTCATACACATTACACAAACACATATGCGATAATATCAATAATTTGCCAGTATGTGTATATGAGAGAGGATCAAAGCCTATTATATATTAAAAGATCATGAATTTCTCTATTATTCATAATAATAAAGGTATATTCTTATGGGAAGGGATAGAAAGTGTATATAACCAGGTGTAAAAGAATAATAAATTCATTTTTAAAATAAATTTTAAAATTATTATAATAAGTTTTTCAAATTTTGTACCTATAAGACTGTAATTATTGACTGTAATTTATACTTTAATAAAATCTAAAATTTTAGAAAATCACTGATAATTTAATAGCAACTTAGCAGTTGACACCAATTTTTAAGCTAAGATTGAGAAGCAAATATTTTCTAAGAGATGCGAGAGCAATAAAAAACAATGTCCAAGCCTTACATTAATTTTTTGTAATATTATAACTCTATAAAAACCTATACACATATATTATTTATACAGGTATATAGCTAGAATTATTAGCGCAATTTTTATACTTTTATTGTTCATTACAATAATATAATAGAATGAATGATTCTCTCCTCTGTTATATGGCTGGCTATAACATAAAAATGTATGTTTGGTATTTCAGTTTATTACAAGGGAATAATATCTCATAGCATTCGTATCATATACGAACATTTTCATACATGTAAATATACATATATACATACTATACTCGTATACATATATATATTGTCTTTTTATTCCCTTCCTATTCTTGAATAAACTTATAATCATAATATTATAAATGGGAATTAATACACATGCATTTACAAAGAACTTAAAGGGATCATTTTTAATGTACAAAAAAAAAAATAATAATAAAAAAATGTTATAGACATCCTTTGAAAATTCAAATGGAAAAATTATATTTTTTATCATGAACATCTTATGAATATAGATTTTGAAGAGAAAATATACATGCAATTCGAACATGTTGTTTTATTATTCTAGTTCAGATCATTTACCTGAATGTACATTTTATTATTTAACAAAACATAAATACATACATGCAAGCACACCTTTAACCATAATTCTATCTATACAATTTTATTAAAAATTTACCCCCATTTGAATTCCAATTTTATTATTATAATAATGTGGTGTTGGTATTATTAATAGTACGAGAGCATTTGCAAGAATATTTTTCGACTATAATTTTTTAACAACATAAACATTTTCATATTGATGTACATATAATAAGAAAAGGAAAAAATAAAATTGTAATTACTAAATTGTGATCGTCACACAAAGATCTACTCTACACACAAATTATATAGATATGTCGTTTCCCTGTATTTTTTATACTTCTTATTATTGTTGGTTTTTTCTTTTTTTCCCTTGAATTGAATTCTTAAAGAAACCGGCTTCAATTTTTTACCCTTGAATTACCTTTTAACTATTGTAAAAGAAACTATTTGACTGTATAGGTAGTTGAATAAAATAAGGTTTAAGAAAAAAAATTTACGAACAAAATTTCTTTTTTATTTTAAATATTTTTATTAAATTTTGTAATATTGTTGTTGTAAACAACATCTTAGACTAATAAAAATTTTGAAGAGTAAGACTTTAGAAATTCTTTCTAATCCAATTGATTTTTTCTAAAATTCTCAAAAAAAATTTCAATAAATTCCTTTATGATTTTTTTTTTGAAATTCTTTGAAAATTAGGTCCAATAGCTATGGGTATAAAATAGATTTTCCGTTTTTAAAAGTTCAAGAAAAACATAAATATTTACAAAATTACATACCTACAATATATGCATTCTAACATTTTATAAAATTTGTTTCTAAGAATTTTAAGATCAAAGGAATTTTTATTTTATCTTTTGTAAGTAGATGCACATAACATGTATATAGTGCAGGACTATGTATATTTTGGTATATCAGTTAACCTTTTCTATAAGTAACTTTCCATTTTTGATACTACAAATACTTGATCGGCTATATGGATATTATTATTTTGATATTAAGTTGATAATAAGATTCTAGAATGTAAATTCCGTTTTATTAATAATACATATGAAAGTCAAACTCCTTTATACGCTATGAATTTTTTTATTGATATGTAATTTTCTAATCAAATAAGAAATCGGTAAATGCACTGTGAGGATGTGAATAAATGTGGTCATAAAAGATGTGAATAAATCTGCATAATAAATGTGGCCAAAATATTATTACCAATGTCTTAACTAAAATCGGATACGCATTCTTTTATTTTAATTTTTGAGACTACAGACTATTATTGTAACGCAGAATTAGACTACAGATTCCTACGGTAGCAAATATATTTTTTGGGTCCATTAATCTTGTTCAGGGAAGCAAAGAGATTATAAAAAAATTTTGTATACATTGTTTTTGCTTACTTGATAATAAGGAGAGGAAATTTAATGCAACCTATTTGTATTTTACAGATTTCCTAACATTTTTTCCCATTGGAATACGCGATTTCATATTATTCGATAAAAGGAAGAATGCCATCAAGTGAAAAATGCAAAGAGGAATTTGTTGCAGATAGCCACATAACTTCTGAAATTTTGGTTTAAATTGACATTAGAAACTCTAGGATTTGGCATAAACTATAATAGATTAATCATAACCGTAAATAATATTATATAATTATTTGCATATGTTCAAAATTAACGAAGAGATAAATACTAGAAATAAAATAATTTCGCTGATAGTTAAAACTTTTTATTTTCTTTCTATGATACTCCCAATTAAAATCTTTCTAGTGAAATACACAACAACCCATTAAAACTTAACGCCCTTTGAATAATGTATGAATTTTTACTGCCAAGCCTAAACAGATTGCGGTCTTTTTCAATAATTATTTGTTAATGAATGCCAAAATTCGCCGGTTTTATAATATTTATACATTGAAATAATTCTTGTAATTGTTCTTGTAATTAAACTGTATAAACAATTGTGTCTAGAATTTGCGTGAGAGCTCGTATAAAGTGAACCGTTTTCAAAGTTTTTTATGTTAGAAATATTTTAGCCCAATAATCGTAATTTGCATTCCAAGTTTTCCTTTTGAAACTTTAAGATTTTCTGAAATGGTCGAATTTATACCAAGGAATTGTATAAAAGCTGATCTACCTTTTTCAAAATTTTTTATGTTAGAAATATTTTGGTTTTAGTGTTCCTAACAATAAAATTTAATTTCTATGGCTTAGGTAATTTTATGAAATAAACCTCCTTTGCGTTCAGAAATTGTACGAACCCTCGAAAAACCATCGAATCCACTGGGATTTCTGTACAAAATTTGAGAATGGTTGGGTTAGTCAAAGAAATAAATATTTTTAGTAAAAATTGTAGCAAACATTATTCTAATTAAAAAAAGTATTATAAGAACATATTTCGGAAATAATTCTATACAAAATTCATAATTAAAAAATAGACGTATGTATCAGAACATTTATTATATGCCAATAAAGAGCGCCTTTTTTAAGATTCCTAGATAAAATGAGATTCTAGATGTTTCATAAGCAAATGAGTAATTTGCTACTTTCATCAAATAAAATGAACATTCAATCTTCGATTATACATAAAACATGCTGCAGCTAACAATTTCAACCACATTCAGGCAAAACATTCAATTAAAGCACTAAAATAAAAATAAAAAATTCACGACTGTTTCATATAAAGTTGCTAGTTTTTATAATATCTACCACTACTTTACTTAATTTAAGATAATTTTCAATAACTTTCGGGAAAAATTCCAACGAAACTGCCCATAAAAATAAATCTTATATGATGTATTTTGAAGACATGTCATTTTACATGAGAGAATTGAATAGGTAGCCTCCTTCAGTTTATAACATCCCATATTGAATTTTATTATCCTTACCGGAGAATTTTAAAATTCAAAAATCCTTTACCTAAAAAACTATTTTTACCTGTTCGCTAAAACAAATTTCTACATTCTGTGTATAAAATACGAGCAATGCAAATTATTCTCGTTAATTTGAATTAAGAATTTGAAAGTATTGGAAATAAAATTTAAAAAAAATATATTGTTTT